TTAGATCTGAAAATTTTTTATATTTTTTATGCAATCAATTTCAATATTTAATCTCTATTATTTAATCCCAAAATTAAAAATAGTGTTGAAGAAATGTTTTCTAAAATTGTGACTTTTATAAAATTTATTAATATTCGTAATTATAATTTTCTTCCCTGTTAAATATAATAAAAATAATTATTTTAATAAAAAATAAAAATTCGTTTTTTTACATTTTTTTATTTTTATTTTTATTTTATTTTTCATTACAAAAAACTTGAAAACTTTCTTAATTATTTGATTAAAAAAAAGAATTAATTTTATATAAATATCCAATTTCGATCAATAATAGAAATATTCATTTTCAAAATTCCTCTTGAATTAAGGTTTCCATGAAGGTTTCTTTGTGCTCTCACGTATTTGTTATCGTTGCTTACCTTTTGTGAATACAAAAGATTCAATTATTTAGAGAAGATTCGATAAGTTAAATATCCAAATTCTTTGTAATAAGATGTTTCACAGAACAAATTTTACTTTGTAATATGAAGCGAAATATGAGATAGATATTTGCAAACTGAATGATGGACAATAATATTTATATAATGAAAGTTAAAAAGTTTGTTATTTTATACTTTAATATTGGTTCTTTGAAGGAACAAAAGAAATTCTAATAAGATGCAAGATACTGATTTTATAATGATGTAATGAAAAAGAAGTGTTTCGTAAAATATAATACAATTACATAGGATTTATATTTGCACGGAAGAATAAAAGTGAAAAATATAAAATAAGATTTTAAAAAATTGAAATCAGATTTGAGAAAATTAAATAAAAGATTTATGATCTTAAAGATTTCATCACATTAATTTTTTGAATTTTAGATATTTTTATCTTACGAAAAAGAAATTAATAAAAGTATTAATTACATTCAAATAAAAAATAAAAACTTGAAATACCAAAATAATAAATCAGATATAAAAATATTCTGTTTCTTATAAATACTATATGTATTTGAAATAATTATTTTTCAAATTAATTAAAATAATGAATTTATCTTGAAAATTATTGATCAACGAGTAGAGATTGAAAAGAATTAATAAAGATTAAAAATTGACAAGATGTCGACAATAGTATAATAGATCTTCAATTGAAGTAATTATATATTCGATTGAGAATATAACATGTTAAAAAATTACCTTATCCTAGAATATTCGAAAAATCCTTTTTATTTTATTATTTTTTTTTAATATATTCTATTTTTTTTAAATAATCTCTTATATAATAATATAAAATCAATAAATTGAAATGAAATAGTGTTAAAATTCTTAAAGCATATATATCCTTTTATATTTGCATATATATCCTTTTAAGAAAAATAATTAAATTTGATTCGTCTTCATAAACATATTTAAATAATTTTTTATATTTTCATTTCTTCATAAACATTTTGTCTTGGTAAAATAATTAATTCAACTACATTATATTTATCATAATTTTTATCGTAACAAGAATTATATAATTATTTATGAGTTTATACAGACTCATTCATAATAAAACCACTTCTTCGATCTTTCTGGAATACGTGAATTAAAATAATTATACTTATTATTAACAGTACGAACTCTCAAACTTTCGAAGCCGCAAGAAATTTATCGTGACATATCACCTTTGACGGCACTTTATTACAAACATACCAAGCATAATTATTCATGGTCTTTACATTAATCTTTGTCCAATGATCTTCCTTCAATATCGACAGTATCCACATTGTCAAAGGCAGAGAAACTTAAATGGATTTTGGATTAATTTTGTGAGATAGTTCTAGTTTACAGTTTACAGAAATCTCGTTATATATATAATTTAACATTTTACATTTTTTGAATATTATAAGGAAATATAAAGAAGAATTTCAATCAATGGGATAATTAATAATTAAGTATTCGTAAAAAAATAATATACTAAAAACTTTCATTATCTTTTTTTTAAAAAAAATAAGAATCATATAAATAAGATTTCATAGCATTAAATTCAATATAATAACATTATAAATAAAATACATAATATGAAAAATATTTTAAAATATAAGTATAAATGAAAAAAATTAAAAATTGTTAAATACGAACTGCTTCGTACTAAACTAAAATCAATCTGTCATTTTTCATCTCTGATAAAATTAATTATAAGTTAATTATTATGTTGGGATACAATTATTTCTAGATAAGTTTCATACTTGGAAATTTTAACCAAAAATAATTGCATAAATCCGAGTTATTAAAATCTTTTAAAAAATTTTCGATTTATTATAAAAAATTTACTATAAAATAATTACAAAAAACAAAATAGAAATATGATAAAAATAAATGCAAAATTACCATTCTATCAATTATTAAATAGATTATGAATATATTCATGAAATATCTTTGAAAGATCGATTATAAAAGAAAAATAAAAATTAATATATAAAAATGTTGGTTTATTTATTAAGTTATAATCAATTGATGTTCGCATTAAATAAAATGAAACATGAGACAAAATAGACAGTTTTATTTTCACCACATTCTGTTTCTATTTCGTTTCATTTTAAATTCCTTATAATTTAATAAAAATTTAATCAAAGTTCTTGTATATTAATTTTTATATTCATTTTGGTGTCTAAAATTAATCTATAAATATGTTAACATTCTTTATATTTATTTATTTTATTATTGGATTAAAAATAGAAGAGACTAGAACTATTTAAAACCTACTTTTAAATATATTAAGATGAAATCTTAAATATTAAATATCTCAAATATTCATAATAAATCATTTCTTAAAATTTTTAAAAAAATTTTTTCTTCAAATTTTTATTTAATAAATTTGAATTTTTAAAAAAATTATTTTAAAGAAATAAATTAGTAATTCTTGATCTAGATATCAATATAAAGATTTCACGTAATATCAAACGTGAGTTTGATATTGTTTGAGTTTCCGTTTCATAAATCCCTAGAGTTTCATTAAAACTAACTCCACAAATTTCACAAACATTTCCATTAAGCCACCTAACATGAAACACAACGAGATTATTCTACTCAAAATAACAAAGTAAATTTTTACATTAATTATCTTCGTCATTCTGTACACAACAACAATCTTAATCAACAATCTGATGAATACAAAAAAGGGAAATATCATCCAACATGTCCTTAATCATACAGATTATAATGATTAAAAAACAACTCTATTATATCTTTATAGAATAAAGTTCAGTTAGAACAAAAGATAATTGATCAATGAGATAATTTGGCCAATATTAGATTTGTCTTTGCGAGACATCTTTTGTTTTAATCGAATTTATCGATCTTTTATCACTGTTAAGAACAAAAGCCAAATTCTGATTTATGAAACGATTACGATAGCTTTAAATTCTATTACTTTTGAATAGCTTTAGCATTCTCAATAGTTTTGAGTTTCAATTTCTTAGTAATAATTTACGATTGTTCCAGATTGTTCTCAATAGTTCCAAATGCAATAACAATGACTATTTCATAAATCACAAATATGTATATAATGATATATGCATATATCATCGAAAAAGCGATTGCAAAGATCATAGCACACATTGCAACGTGGCCTTGGGAAGATCCATTCTTGAAAACTGTCTTTCCAATACGATCATTAATTCTTTCCCTCTTAGTTACATTTTTATTAATAATGTAAATTATTTATAAGAAAAATAAGTGCAATAAAATAATAGCACAAATATAATAAAACATAGATTTTGTTGTTTGAGAATGGAATGATTTACGTATTTTCGTATGCTGAATCCGAATTTGGCCATAAAAATTATTTATCATGTTTTGATTGTTTCATGAAATTTAAATTTAAATATATAATTTTAATAGCAATAATAGATATAAAAATATTTGTAAAGTACAAATATGCAAACAATTATATTCAAAATTACTATTGTATTGATGAGGAGGATTTCTACTGAAAGGAATTCGAGGTTGATTGTATTTCTATATCTATTTTCTACTATAATACTATAGTAGATATAGGATATAGGATAGGATACAATATAATTTCTTAATTGGCTAAAAAGATTGTTTATATTACTCTATTCATATAATATAGCATAATAAGAAAAGCAAGCACGAAAACCTAATAACAAAAACATAGCAAGATATTCAACTTCTAATTTTGAATTCTGAAATTTTTTAGAAAAGTGCTTTATCTGAATATAAAGATCTTAAGACTTTATGATTATGTTAAAGTTGGAACGCCATATAAAAGCTTCTGTAACTGTAACATAGACGAATATACAATCCCTGAAAACGTTGAATTCCAAATATTTAATCTATTATCGATTATCACTTAATTATATTATATATAATAACTCAATAAAAGAACGAAAGTAATTTTATAATAATTAACTTCAATTATAATCTATTAATTCATATTGTTCGATAATTAGAATACAATATTTTTAATAATAATATTTCATACTATTTCTATACATTGAGCTAATGTGCTCGAATATACAGATTTTTATTTTTTCTTAGAATTAAAATATCTTTACAATTAAATATAATAACGATTATAAATTATTATTAATTGTATGTAAGTAAATATAACTGAGATTGCTTTTGTTTCGATATTCGCCATGATTAATGATTCGTAAGCGAATATGCAAATCTGGATGATAACATTTACATACGTTAAAGAATTAATTAGTTCAATGTGTAGATGTATGATGTAACATCATAATCAATCTATTTGCAACTTAAAATAAAATGGGCAAAGAAAAAAAATTCTTTATGTCGCTCCATAGAATTTCTCAGCAACGCATAATATACGAATTAAAATTCAAATTCCTTTATTATATATGTATGCATTTATATATACATGGAATAAAAATCTTTCTCCATCAATATCAATTTCAATTACACAGATAAATATCGAAATGCCACTTCGTTATTTCGAAATTACACTTATGTAGACTTATGTAGGGAAAAAAGAATTATCGAGGTTAATTTTACCTGGGTGGCTGTGTAGGGCGAATTTTTGCCAGGAAATCCTTGGAGGAAGCCGTCGATGTCTTGTGTGGCAATAGTGGTCAGGTTTAGAAGTAGGGTGTCTTCAGTGGTAATTGCGTCCTTCCCCTCCATACGAGACTAATCAGCAGTCCGGAGCATCCGAAGCGCCCCCCAAAGTCGACGGCTACGTCATGCTCCTTCTCTCCTCTCTCGACCATAGGATTCCAGAAAGGCTTGATCCGTGCATGGAAATCTTCCCTTGATTCCCTTGATTCCACGAACCACGATCTACCTCAACCGTTCGTTGTTACAGCTCGCACCATCCAACTCTCGCAAACCTGAAATCATTCCGATGATTAGTTTTATTGAAGAAATGAGGTTGAATATATATAGAAATAAGATAGTTGGATAGATATATGAAGTATTAATATATAAAAATGGTGTGTACTGTTTTTGGTTAAGATTGGAATTTGATTACGGACTAGAAATTTGTAATGATATAGATGTATTTCGATGGAGTGAGGTAAATGGATACACTATTTGAGAAGTTCAGATTGTTTCGAAAGGGTTGATGTTACTTGGAAAACTTAGAAATACTTTGTGCATTGATTGATAATAGAAAATTTAGAGAAATAAAAAAATGATCGCATATATATAATTGAAATTTTAAAGATTTTAAAATTATATTTTGTACACAATTGAATGTGGAATTATTTGATATTATTATTAAAATTATTATATAAAATTATTTATTATGAAATTAATTTAAGATATATAGATTTTAATTATTAAATAGTTAATCGAACGCAAAGTTTAATCGAAATAAAATGAAATCAATGCCATCGATGAAATAGTTTCAAAAATTTTAAATTCTTTATATTTAAATAAATATATTAAATAGATGTATTAATTTTATTTCTTCCTTATTTGTTTTTTATGTTTGTTGAGAAAATAATGCAAATTAATAAGAAAATGAGAGGCGAAATAAGAACGTAATTAATTTTCAAGTTTAGTTAATTACGATTTTAATTGCTTTTACTGTTATTATTAAGCCACTTTCATTTTGGAAATACAATGTTACAATACGAATGCAAATATAAATTAAGAAGAGATGCGAAAATAATACGTTATACCACCATATTGAGACGAAATTTGTATTTTCGTTTGAATTATTCGAATATCTGAAATTATTCAATATTATGCTTTGTCTTTGAGACGAAAACTTGATGATGACGATATTTAATAGACTTGAATGAATTTTTAAATGCATTGAAAACAAATGAAACGTAAACACAAGTAATAATATAATTTCTTACTTATCTTCATCTTAAGTCAATAATTCTTTAGGATTTATATTAATTTTCTTTTAAGATAAATATAAAATTATTTTTAATTTAAAAAAAATTTGAATAATTTTTTTATAATTTTTGTCTCAGAAAGTCATTTAAATATTTAAATATATTATATACATTATTTAGAAACCGAAAAACAGATAGAAAACGGAAAATGTTTATATTTTTATTTAGATTTGTATTAATCTATTATTTTAATTTAAAATTATATAGAAATATATTTAAAAATATACAACATTAAATAATAATTAACATATTCCAAAAATTTTATAACAAAAATTATTTAATATAATAACATTGTATAAAAATTTAGAATTAAATTATATTGCAAAATGAAAAATTAAATTATATTAAAATAATCAAAAAAAAAAATTAAATTTATTAAATAATATTAAATTTTTACTATTAATACTAAAAAATGAAATGAAATTTTATATCATTTCTAAAAAATATATATATAATAATTATTGTGTGTTCGATGAGTATTTAAACTTTGAAGTCGTTGTGGTTGAGGTTCTTAGATTTCAAATATGATTCATGGGAAGTATATTTCTTAGTAGGTTTATATTTCATTTTCGGAATTGTGTTTATTCTATAGATTTAATTGAAATTATTACGATGAAAAGACTGAAAAAAGTAATAATTGTAGTTTCTGTCGGTGAAATTTATAAATGTATTTAATATTATAACTATATATTAGTGTATATTAGAATTACATTATTCTGTGGTTTGGTTTGAATTAAATATTATAGTTATTATAATCGTAATAAAGTATCCTATATTACACATTAGTAACTTATAGATTTCTGATATATTAAATTTCTTTATTTATTTTTTTTATTCTTTTAATTGAATATATTATTTGAATATATTATTTGATATGAATGATATGTTAAAATGTTTTTATAGAACTTTAAAAAAAAAAAAAAATTCTTCAATTATAATACTTTTTCTTGATATTTTATGATATATAATATAAATTACTAATATAAATTAATAAAGAAATTGTACACAAACAAAGAAATCTTACAGAAATTTTTTGAATTTTGTAATGAGCTATTTCGAATCAGAGAATTTTTAATAAGGAGGTCTTCATTCCTTGATCATTTCAATTTTCTGTGGATATGAAGTCTTAATTTCAAATTAACAACTAGAAATAATAAGTTATAACTAGAAAAAAATTTTTTTTTTTAATCTTGTAAATTAAATAATAATTCTTACAATAAGAATTTTTTCATAATTATAAATAAATTGTATTATTTATTCAGAACAAAAAACAAATTCAAATTATTTATTTGAATTTTATTCAAATTATATATATTTGAATTTAAAAGCATTCTAATTGAAATTTTGGAAATTTTAAAATAACAATTTTGAAAGAAATATAAATATACGAATTCAAGCTTTGCGATAAAACGATTGCAATACAAAGTTGGACTGAAACTGAACTTTACTGAAATTATGTAATTATATATGAAAAGACAAAACATTTTTCCAAAATTTTTTTATATTTTTCATGAATTTATATAATTATAAATGAATAATAATAATAATAATAATAATAATAATAAT